AAAAAATAAAAAAAATTGTTTTATGATAACATAGATTAAAATTAAAAAATAAAAATAAAGTTAAAGAAGAAAGAATATATATATTTAAATATATAAAAAAAACTATTATTTTACATAAATTTTAAATTAAAAAATCTATTATTTTAGGAGGAAGTTAGTAAACAAAGTTTCAAGCCGTGTCCCTGAACTAATAATTTAATTGTTAAGATGGTTGCTGTCACTTAAAAGAGATGAGTGCTAATCCCCCTTCCTCTTGTCCTTGTGGTCCAAGTGATAAAGAGACTTGCTGCCATTTCGCTGAGATGTTCTCCAATCCTCAGGCTATGATAGACAAAAAGTCTTGTCGGCCACATGCACAGTCAAAAACCAGAGCGAAACCCATGCAAAACAGGAGCGGTGATCTTTCACTTTTTGGTAACTCCGTTTGTGCCGTACAATAGGGAGTGCTAAAATGTGGACCATCCGCCGGTCTATCCACGAGGAAACAGAGTAGGAGCTATAATTGAGTAATGATGTTGTTATAGTATTATATATAAAATGTTAAAATTATATAAATTAATTTATGATTTTTTAAATAATAAATTTTGGTTTTTTAAAATATTAATTTATAAATTAACTTTAATTTATTAAATAATAAATATTAATTTATTATTTATTATTAATTATTTTCAACAATTAAATTAAATTAAATTAATATTTTTAAAAATAATATAATGTAACCTTAATATTTTAATACGTGGTCATAACCACACTTTAGAGTAAATCTAAAAAAGAAAAAATTCTTATTCAAAGATTTGCTAAAAGAAATAAAATTAAAATCCAGTGGGAAACTCTTTTTTTTTTTTTATGAATAAAATCCAGCGGGAAACTAACCAAAAATGCACCATGGAAAAGAGAATTGGGCTTAATAACCTTGAAAGAACCATGATCCATTTGCCCATTTGTAATTGCAATACAACAAATGGGCTAAACAAAAAACTAACCGATTGTGGGTAAGGCTAGCCGCATCGTAAGTCCATGGTAAAGGAGTCCCATCCATCCATCTACTTGAAGCTTCCTTCAGAAACAAACATGCATGGCTGGTGAAGCACATATTATTGCCAAGTGCGATCACACTTTTCAAATCATCTTTGTTTCTTTGTTCATCAAAGATGATCATGTTCATCTTTTAGTGTGAAGCCTTTCCCAAAGTTTGCCTGTGACCTGCTTTAAGCTATCAGTATCAGACAGCTTCTTTTCTCATGAACAATGCCAGGCAAAAACTTGTCCACATTTGGAATAATACCAAAGAAACAGAGGAAATCTACCTCACCATTCTCTATAAATCACAACATTTTCTCATGAATTGTATCCTGGCATCACTTTATTTTCCTCTCATGGCTTCTCCTCATTCACTTTCCTTCACTTTCTTCTTGTGTTTCCTCCTCCTCATATCACGATCCCAATCCACCTTTGGTCCAAACAGGTTTGTTTTACCAGTGCATAAAGACTCCAAGACAAGCCTTTATGTCACCAACATTTCGAAGAGAACTACTTTAGTGGAAATCCCTCTTGTTGTGGACTTAAATGGGAGGTACCTTTGGGTAACTTGTAACAAGAACTACCTTTCTTCAACCTACCCTGTCCCTCTTTGCCACTCAATTCAATGTGCCCGAGCCAACAGCCACCACTGCATTGCCTGCAGCCCCACGGCTCACCCCGGCTGCCACAACAATGCATGTGGGCTCATCTTAGAGAATCCTGTGACCAACCAGAACGCCATGGGTGAGCTTGCAGAGGATGTTCTGTCAATTCAATCCACCCAAGGTTCGAACCTTGGTGCTATGGTTACAATACCCAGCTTCCTATTTGCTTGTGCACCTTCATTCTTGCTCCAAAATGGGTTTCCAAGAGATGTTCAAGGAGTAGTAGGGCTAGGGCACGGACCTATTTCCCTACCAACCCAACTTTCCTCTCACTTTGGTTTTCCTCCTACCTTTGCGTTGTGCCTTTCTGATCATGGAGTCATTTTCTTCGGAAATGGACCTTATTATATGCAGCCAGGAGTAGATGTTTCTCGTTCACTTGGCTATACTCCATTGACAATCACCCGAAAAGGAGAGTACTTCATAGAAGTAAGATCGATCCAGATAAACAACAAGCTTCTTCCATTGATGAACTACATAACTATGCGAACAAAGATCAGCACAACAATGCCTTACACAGTCCTCGAGCAATCCATTTCTCAAAACCTTCACTCAGTTCTTCACCAAGGAGATTGGGATAGCCCAAGTGAAACCGGTGTACCCTTTTGAGTTCTGTTACGAATCTAGCAAGCTCAGCAGGAGTAGGGTCGGGCTTGGGGTGCCCAACATTGACCTCGTAACGCAGAAGGGTGTGATTTGGAGGATTTTTGGCGCTAACTCAATGGTGGAACCAAAACCAGGAGTCGCATGCTTGGCGTTTGTTGATGGGGGGTTGCAGAAGAACTCACCCAGAGACAGTGGAGCTTCAATTGTTATTGGGGCTTACCAGTTGGAGAACAATCTTGTGAAATTTGATCTACAAAGGTCTACGTTGGGATTCAGCTCCTCGCTGCTGTTTTACAAAACTTCTTGCAGTAATTTCAACTTCACTACCTCTACATGAAAGACTGCAAGAGAATGTTTCCTAGATCATGTGTATGCATTTAAATGTGCTAATAACTATGTGTGTGGCTAAACCAACTAAATAAAAGAATGAATAAGAGTATCAACTCATCAAGTTGAAAGCAAATTCCTTCGCATCCCTTGGGACCAAATACAACTTTTTTAGATTTGTATATGAGTTATTGTTCTTAAGCGGGAAATGTTACATACATATACTGATATTAATTTTAAATATATATTTAAAAAATCAACTTAAAGCCTAAATAAAATTTTTCTAATGCATCTGCCTTATAAATTATAATTGAATTAAACTATGGCTTTGGTTTTGGAGTGCTGGCTTGTAGCGGTAAGTGTAGCTTTTTCATCTTTTAATATATTAAAAATATAAAAATATATATTTAATATATATTTTAATTAATATTTATATACTTTTATGATATTAAAAAGGTAAAAAATCAAAAGCTAAAGTAATTGTGAGAGATTTCCAAACGAAAGCTACATTATACATTAAGAAAATGGTATGTACATCTTCAATTTAATATATCTTTTTGATATATTATTTATTTATTTATTAAAAATATAATATAAATACAATTGATTCAATTAATTTTTATATTTTGTGCACAAATTGTATTTTTAAATTTATTTATTTTTAATTTTAAATTAAAAAATAATAATTTTTTAATAAATATGTTATGTAATGTGTTGAAATGAAATGTATACCAATTATTGTTCTATATGTTATAGATATATTAAGCTTTCAATATCAAAATAATCAACTAATCACCTAAAAAACCAAGGATATATTAGACTTTTCATAACTTAATATTATAATAAATAAAAGACAAAATTAACATTTTTAGTCTTATTTTCTTTACATTTTCATACATTTTTTAAAAGAAATTTTTTTTCTTAATTTTTCTAAGGTGGGTTTTATTTATTACTAACTTTTTCCTAACTTTCACAGTAACACTCTAATAAAACTCGATCATGGAGAAGTTTGAAGAAAAAAAGGCTGTCAGGTATTGTATAGTCTGTTATTTTATGTACCAAAAATAAAACTTAAACCAAATGTAGTGATATAAAAGAGTAGAAATTTATCTATACATAAGTTGATTTGTTATATTTATATAAAATTTTTAATAATTTATTTTTTTGCATTCAGTAATTAAATTTTATTTATATTTATTCAAAATAATTATTTTTTATTTAAAAAATTATGATAAATCTCAATCATTAAAAATAAAAAAATAAATAATTAAAATTTTATATAAATAAAATATATAAAATTTACATATAAATAAATATTTTTTATTATAAAATTTATTAACTTCCTCTACAATAATTTTTAAATTTTCAATAAAAATCTAAAGTAGTAGTCAGCTGCAGTGCACGTGATCTGAGCAAGAATGCCACATCATCCGGTAGGCCCATCCAAAACGTGTCTAGTCCAATGACAGAACAGAACAGCACCCCAGTCACACTCACAAAGAACCCCGACGGTCCCACCAAAACTAAACTGAAACTGCAGGAACGACTAGCAGCAGTAGAAAACCCGGCCGAACCCCGACAACGGATTCATATTTGATCGCTGAAAAGGGAGAAGAAGAAGAAGAAGAAGAAGAAGAGGAAGAAAAAGGGAGAAATGCATTCTTTTGGGTACAGATTTAATGCTTTGTTAACGTTCGCCGTCACGATTCTGGCGCTCATGTGCGCCATTGCCTCTCTCTCCGACAACCTCAATACTCCTTCTCCTTCCGCCGAAATCCAGGTTCTAATCTATACCCACATGCCCATGTTTCTGTTTATACTTAGATCGGGGTTTCATTTTCATTTTATTTTTCTAATTTAGAATACCCGATTGACTATTATTATTATTATTTTTATCATGGTTTTTGTTTTCTGGTTGTGATTTTAGATAGTGAATATCAATTGGTTCCAGAAGCAGCGGCAGGGGAATGATGAGGTGATTTTTCCAATTCTTTTTTTCTTTTTTTCTGTCAAATTTAATTTTTTTTAGACATTTGTGATATATGAAATGAGAAAAGTATCTTAATTTTTAATATCATTAAGCGGATTTTATTCGTCAGGCCCTTTTTTTTTTTTTACGTCGGATGATGGGCGATATACACTAGGAGAGTCCTCCGCTTCCCAAACCCATCTCCACCTCTCAAGATTTGAACTTGAGATTTAAAATGTGGAGGTTAAAGTTCTTAACTGCTTGAACGTAACTAGGGAACGAATTCATCAAGCTTCTGGTGCCCAGTGAAGTCAGGAAATTGGGTTCCTGTGAAATTGGAGTTGGAGAATTTCCTTTTTGTGATTTTAGATTTTCACCTTTCCTGCTTTATATTCTTCTCTTTTAGTAAAGAATTGCTTGATTGTTTGTAGTTGATTCTGGTGATGGTTTAGTGATGCTTCTTTGACATGAGAAATAGGTCAAACACCTAATGAGATGGATTGCAGTTATGCTAAGAGTATAATGTTGGTTTAAGATTTTCTGAGATGTAAAATTTGTCTTTGATATGCCCTTACGTCAAGGGGACCTGCTGCTTTTGTATTGTGGCTTTTTAAATCATTGCTAGAACTAGAACTAGAACTAGAACTAGAACTGATAATAAACATTTGATTAGACAGATTTTATATTTGTGCAATGTTATGTGATAAAATTCATTGTTGAAGAGTGGGTCTTGCTTTTCTCAAACAAGTCAATAAACTCATTTGGTATGCGTTTACATTTTTAGCATGCTGTGTATTGTTATAATAATTATATATGTTACTGATTACTTCAAGGATTTTATTCTGTGGTTTCAAGAAGTTAGTATCTAATGATGGATACTTTTTGTAAATGGGAGTCCTAATGATGCATTGCTAAATTAACTTTTTCTGTTCTTTTCAAACCTGCAACTCCATGTTGTCTTCTATGTGGGCATTTTTTTTCATGGACATGAAAATAAATGTTCCTAATATTCAACATATGATTTGGAAAGAATTAAACCAAATGTCAGTAAGCCTTTTTATATTGTGCGTTGTTTCTTATTTTAATTAATTATGTGATAAAAATTTAAAGAACCACTTTTCCAGAACTAGAAGAAAGTAGTTAAGAATGCTGGTCCTGTGACTTGTAGTGAAGACTATAAGTTTAACACAGATATTTGGATTGGTGGGGCTTTTGCCCCATTCATGTCCTGTTTTTGTTATTAAATTTACTGTATTAATCATCTTCTGTTACTGCCATAGTATGCGGCATTTATTCTGAATCCCATATTGTGTAACTACACTGCTAGTTCTTGGTGCAATTCAATTCTAAGTAAATGCTTATTACTTTACGTAGGTCAGCCTGACAATGAATATCTCAGCCGACTTACAGTCATTGTTTACTTGGAATACAAAACAGGTTTGCCACGTTACATATCCTCATATTCCTCTCTATTTAATATAGCATTATGTTATTTGCTATTATTTTCTTTGAACCAATATTCAATTGTATGTTGGCCTGTGAAATGGTTCTACTACAAGTGGCCGTGAGAAACATTCATTCTGATCTTATTTGAATCCCCTTTTTAGTGTTCTATCTTCTCTTTTCATCCTTCTGTATTTTAAACTGTCATATTATTGATTAGAATTCAGTTTTGGAGTGATAAATTCTTAGACTTCACTCTTGTTGCCAACACTTCACATGGAACTATTATTTTTTTTTTCGTACATCATGGAACTATTATTGGTCACCAGTAACCAGGAAGCTAATTGACAAAAAAAACTGACAATCAATTTGGTAATCATTGCAGGTTTTCGTATTTGTAGCAGCTGAGTATGAAACCACAAAGAACTCCCTGAACCAAGTAAGCTTGGATTCATCTCAGACCATGTATCTTTTTATTCTTTTGAGTTCTTTTGATTGTATTTTGATGCGTCATGCTTTATGTACTGCATAACTTGTTCAAGGTAACTACTTATGAAATCCTGAAAGAGTTTATGGGTTTGAGTCCTTGGCAGAAAACTGTATTTATGATCCTATTATTACTAAAATTAAATTTTCCAGATTTCACTTTGGGATGCTATAATACAAGCGAGAGAAGATGCCAGGTTTTGGATTCACACCTCAAACAAATATCGATTTGTTGACCAGGTATTCCCATCATCATCATCATGATCACCCTCTTGTTCTTGTTAATCTCTGTACTTGAGATTTACAAGTTGACTGTTTTGTTTATATTCTTCCCTTGTTCAGGGAATTTATCTCCGGGGCAAAGAATTCAACTTGACGTTGCATTGGCACGTCATGCGAAAGACTGGCAAGATGTCTGCCGACAAGATTGTCATGTCAGGATACCGGTTCCCTGAGGAATATAGATGATGCGGTTTCATAGGTATATTTTCACGCTGTAACTTTAACCTTCCCTTTTGATGTTGGGTATTACTGTTAAAGGTCAGCTGTATTAGAGAATTAACACAATTTCATGCTTGAGAAAGTGAGAAAATGAATATTGCTGAACTTTTCCAAACCTTCCTTTTTCTTGATCTTTAGATTGTCAGTAAGATAGGAAATTACTCGGAACACAATCATTCAATGTTAAAGACATGTAGAAAAGCTACTAGTTTTCTTTTGAACAATTTTATGTTATTCTTGAAGGAATTAAAAGATTAGTATATGATGGGATCTTAAATACTTTTGATTTCACTAATTTCGAAACTTGTTTGAATTATATAGAAGGTAACAGACCAACAAGTCCACTAGAAATGCCAAAAGAGTATGGAAGTTTTAGAGATCACGCACGGATTTTTGTAGACTATTTTTAACTACCTGTTTTAATGGTCGTAGATATTTTATATTATTTATAGATAACCATATAGGGTTTATGTATCTCTACCTTTTATGTGACAAAGTTGAAGTTTTGGATGCATTTAAAACATATAAAAGTAGATGTAGAAAAACAAAAGGAAAAGAAGATCAAAATTGTAAGATTTGATAGCGGTGGGGAATACTAAGGAAGACACAGAAAAAGGACAAATGGCAAGTCCATTTGCTAAGTTCCTAGCAGAAGAAGGTATTGTTGCTCAATATACAATGCCTAGAACACCTTAACAAAATGGGGTTGCAAAAAGAAGGAACAAGATGCTTATGGATATGGGAAGAAGCATGATTAGTTACACTAATCTGCCTTTATCTCTTTGGAGTGAAGTCTTAAAGATTGTAGTGTATATTTTAAATCAAGTTCCTCTATCTAAAGCTGCTCCAAAAACTCCTTTTGAGTTGTGGATAGGATGGAAACCAAGTTAAAATCATAGACAAGTTTAGGGTTGTCTGATAGAAGTGAGGACAAATTGTGGTAATTTTATTGGCTATGTAGTTAACTCCAAAGGATAAAGATTCTATTGTTCATCTCACACACCTAGAATTGATGAAGCTATAAATCCAACATTTCTTGAGGATCCTGTACTTAGTGGGAATTTTTTGAAGAAAAGGATAAAATTGATGTATCCACAAGTAGTAATCAATTAGTTCACTTTCAGAGTGAACAACCATGCCATGTGGAAGAACAACTTATTGAATAACAACTCCATAAAAAGCAAGTTCATGAAGAAACAAGTATCCAAAATCAAAATGGATAACATGGCAATAAGGAGATCTTCAAGACAGAGGAAACCAACAATCTCTAATGATTGTATTGTATACTTGTAAGAGTCTGATTTTCATATTGGGCCTAAAAACAATCCTAGCTTATTTTTGGAAGCCATGAATGGTGAAAACTCATCACTTTGGTATGATGCCATCAAAGAAGAGATCGAATCTATGGCGAAAAATCAAATATGGGAACTTGTTGAATTACCAAAGGGATCAAGAACCATTAGTTGTAAATGGGTCTATAAGACTAAAAAGGATGCTTTTGGTAATATTGAACAATATAAAGGCCATCTTATGGTAAAAGGTTACACTCAAGAGGAAGGCATTGATTACCATGAAACCTTCTCTCAAGTTTTTAAGAAGGATTCATTTAGAATAATCATGACTCTTGTAGCTCATTTCAATTTTGAGTTACATTAAATAGACATAAAGATTCCTTTTTTAAATCGGGATCTTGATGAACAAGTATACATGAATTAACTTGTAGGTTTTGGAAAGGAAAATCATTTGCTTTGCAAGTTAAAGAAATTTATCTATGGTTTGAAACAAGTTTCGGCCAATGGTATACTAAATTCCACAATGTTATCCGGTTAGCTTAATGCATCTCTATATTAATTTTATGTATTTTAAAATTTTAATTTTTTAAAATTTTAATCTTACTATTTAAATTTTAAACCTATCCTATCAAATTACATAACGCTTAGAGGTATTATTAAATATTAATAGTTGAACTGAATTGCTGTAAATAGCTAACTT